AATACTAAAAATTGTCTCAATCTGGGTGTGATCTGAGCATCCTACCCTAATGCTTGATTTGTTTTTGCGTTGCCCCTCCCTCCAAATCTCAGGTACCACGGACAGTTTTAGTCACTAATGGGGCGTTACCTCTGCTGAGTAAGAATTAAAGCTGAATGCAGAGGCTGTTCCACAGCATAGTTGAGAAAATGTAGCCTTTTTGATTTCCTCAGTAATTCAGAGCCTCTTTGAGAAAATTGTGTCTCACCTGAAATCTATATTCTAAGATACAGGGAAAATCTTAAGACTAAATTGTTTTCTACCAGATAGACAGCTCTTTTAATTCTTACACATGTGTACTTAGACCACTGCCAGGTACAATAGATGGTCAGTTAAATCCCAAGGAAAACCTAAAGGAATTATTTCATTAGTGAAGGTGATAGGTGATGGGTAACATGTTTCTGCACTAGTTTTCCACCTGTTTCTGAAAATGCTATCTAGTCCTAAGTGTATTGATGATCAACTGTGTCCTGTCACTTAAATATCTGCCGTCATATTTCCTAAGACAGAGTCCTCAGAATGTGAGGAAGATGGGGAAGCAAAAAGTACCATGAAGGAAACCCTGTCTGAAATGACTGGATTGCTGGATTTTATAAACTTGGTTCTTTGTCCCCACTACAATCAAACATGCCTTTGGGAATAAAGCACATGGGAACCACAGGAAGTATTTAGATGCATTTTATTCAACAATCAGGCAGTGGATATCATGATGACCTTACAGGATTTCAGAACCTTGGTTCTCAGCAAGGCCCATGTTTTTTAATGAGGACAGGAACCTCCCGCGCCCTGTAGAAAAGATTGGAAAAAAAATTAGTTTAACTTCTGCTGACAAAGTGACGATGGGAAAAAAAAACAAAACAGTGAAAAAAAGTTTAGCTTTATTTAACATAAAGTTTTTTTTTTAAAGTATTGATTTTAGAGAGAGAGAGAGAGAGAGAGAGAGAGAGATCAACTTTGTTGTTCCATTGATTTATGCATTCATTGGTTACTTCTTGTATGTGCCCTTATTGGAAATAGAACCCACAATCTTGGTGTATCAGCATGAGGCTCTAATCAGCTGAGCTACCTGGATTGGTTTGAGATTTATCCTCATTTCTCTTTCTTTCATTGACTTATTCATTAACTCATCAAATATTGATTGAGAACTATTACATACACTAAGAGTATAGCAGAAGAAAAATAATGTCTGTCCTTATAGTTCTGGTGGGGGGAATTATAGTGAACCTCTGAAATTAATCTCGAATCCCTTGTTGCTTCTTTTGCTCCTGATGTCATTGTCCTGACCACCGTGTTTCCTGGTTGGGAAAGTGGGCTCTGCAGGACCTTCTAACTGATTGATCTTTTCCCTTAGAATGCTGGCATTCATATTTGTGAGAACTCACAAAAGGAAGTCATCTCTCTGTCCCATATGATAGCTGCCAGCTCTAAGCATCCTCCCTTCCAGATACTTTTCTGCTTCCCCCAGCCCCACACCACCTTTCTCAAACTGGTTTTCTCTTCCCTGAGCCAAATATTTAGAAATATTTTAATGTTCCTTGTGAGATTCTTCTATTTCTCTATTACTTGAGGACATCTAACTCATATATCTTTACACATATATTTATCTGAAACCTGCTGATTCTTCATTTTAAGAGTTTTTTGATCCATAATTATTAACCACTTGTTCCATAATTATTAACCACTCATAATACTTGTAGCATATACAAGCACAAGCATCTAAACAGAGCACCCAAGTTCACTTTTCTCTAGCTGTGTTGTCCAGCACACTAGACACTATCCACATGTAGCTATTTAAATTTAAATCAGTTAAAACTAACTGATATTAAATGTCAGGTTTTTGGTTGTATTAGCCACATTTTAAGTGCTAGTGGCAGGGGCTTCCATATTGGATAGCACAGATGTGGAACATTCCTGTCATCGCAGAAAGCTCTGCTGGAGAGTGCTAAAAAGAATGTGGCAGTACAGAGTCCTGAAGAAGACATAGAAGAAATAGGAAAAGGACCTTACTGACTATATCTTCCAGGAGCATAATGATCAAGGAGATAAAAACCCTTGTTTGTCTCCCCATCACAAAACCCAACAACTAGGGGTTAAGTTTTTAAGTACACATTTGTCTGGTGCTTTTAATGGACAACACAAAGGCAATGCGGTACATTTGAACAGATGTTGCATTTAAGAAAGCTACATTTTCTCAGTAGAATTAAAAATACAGGCAGAGAAGTTATATTTTCTGGCAGTTAAATGTTCTTCCCATATTTACATATTTTTAAAATAATAGAAACAGTAAGCAGGGCTGGTGAGTTTTAAAGACTAAGGGAAAAGGGTGAGTGTTGCAGCCCTGTGCTCATGTTTTCCCAATATGTTTCACTCTAAATATTGGGCCTTTCGGATTTGGCACTTGGAAATTTCCCAAGTCTCAAGGCTGTTCTATTGCTTTCTCCTCCCCTTGGATGGAACATGATGTTTGACCTTAATGTCAACAACATAGGTCATGAGAAAATTAACAAATGGTTTAAAGTTCCTCTTGAAACTTTTTTTACAATATGTTTTTATTGATTTTAGAAAGAGAGGAAGGGAGGGGAGAGAGAGAAACATTGATTGGTTGCCTTCTGTATGTAACCAGGGATTACACCCAACCACGGATTGCACCCACAACTTGGGTATATGCCCTGACCGGGAATTGAACTGATGACCTTTCAGTGCACAGGACGATGCTCAACCAACTGAGACATACCGGCCAGTGCCTCTTACAAGTCTTTAAAGTGGAAATAAATTCACCACGAAGCCAGAACCCAATGTCTTGGGTTTAAAACTTTAGGATATTAGATCTGTCTCTCTAAGGACTATTTCCACAATCTTTTTTAAACACTGAGAATTTGCTGAAATGATTTAAAGCAGACTAAGAAGAGGATTCATGTTATAGGGCAGTGATGGCGAACCTTTTGAGCTCGGCATGTCAGCATTTTGAAAAACCCTAACTTAATTCTGGTGCCGTGTCACATACAGAAATTTTTTGATATTTGCAACCATAGTAAAACAAAGACTTATATTTTTGATATTTATTTTATATATTTAAATGCCATTTAACAAAGAAAAATCAACCAAAAAATGAGTTCACGTGTCACCTCTGACACGCGTTTCATAGGTTCGCCATCACTGTTATAGGGAACTTATATAGTGGAATAATGGAAATGTATGTAGTCACTTGAGCCTAAATCAATGTTTTAATACCAAATCAGTTTCATGATAACTGAGTCTTCTGGGTCACTTGTGGGATATCTGTTGTTTTGATCATTTTACACCTTTATTTAACATGAAATACTTTTGTTATGCTACCAAAATTGAGAGCCCTTGTTGAAATAATATTCCTTTCATGGATCCTTTCTTGACCCTTTCAGTAAGAAGAAATCTTTTCTTTTCTTCCCTCCTGTAGCAGTTTGCTCATAGCTCATGTGATGACATTTGTCACAAGTTGCAAGATGCTTCTTTGTGCTCATGACCTATTTTCTCTTATTCATAAGCACAAGAAGAGCAGAGGAGACTAGCACAATGCCTGGCACATGTTAATTGTTCAGAAGCTGGGTAAGATAAAAAATCTTTGGCAAATCTATTTCTCTGAGTGCTCGACTTTGCTTCCAATCACTGATTATAATCACTTCAGAAAATGAGCTTCATTGAGACTGGCTCTCAAGTCCATAAATAAAAACGTTACAAAAATACGTTCTGGTCACCTAATCTGTATAATTAATATTTGTATATTTAAGGTTTTAGTAAATAATCATTACTATCATCCAGAATGACATTTTAGATTTAAAGGTATTTTGGGTATATGAGCTTTTCTGAAATCTAGACTATCTACTATTTTGCTGTAAAAGCATGAGTTTTTATCACACAATTGATTTTTTAAATTCATGAACCATTCAAACACCTTTCCTCCTCTATTTCATTATCTTTAGTACATTTTATGTTGTACCACATTATTAATTCCTGTCTCTCTTTTCATTCCCCCCCCCTTCTTATTTCTCTCCTTCTTTATGGCATAAAGAGAGCCTCCAAATATTTCCAAACCCTAGCAGGCATAATTCGTTGTTTTTAATTTTCTGCTCTCAAGCATGGTGCTCAGCACTCTGTTAGTGTTGAGTGTAAGTGAATTGAGAGACGAAGCAGGTTGGAATTTCTTCTGGGTCTCACAAATCCTCAGTCTGGTACTTGACTTTGAAGCACGGCGGGAAGAGCAAGGATTAAGTCCCAGCTCTGCACTTACTGCTGGTGATCTCAAGCAAGTTATGTAGACTAAAACTGAGTTTCAATTTCTCCATGTGTATAATGGGCTTAGTATTATCCTATATAATAAAAGGCTAATATACAAATTGACTAAACGGTGAAACAGTGTTGCTGTGATGCACATTGAGCACCAGGGGGCAGACTCTCAATGCAGGAGCCAAGCTCACGGCTGGTGAGTGCAGTGGTGGTGGCAGGAACCTCTCCTGCCTCCGTGGCAGTGCTAAGGACACCTTGGGGGATGTCCGCCTGCCATGGGGAGCGGGCATAAGCTGGCAGGCGGGCATCCCCTGAGGGGTCCTGGACTGTGAGAGGGCATAGGCTGGATAGGTTGGGCTGAGGGGACACCCCCCACCCCCCAGTGCACAAATGTCATGCACCGGGCCTCTAGTTTACCTCAAAGAGTCTGTGTGATTATTAAGTATCTAGCACAATGTGCAACAGTATAAATATTATTTTCTGTCAACACACACACTCAAATATATATATATATATAAAATCATACCAGATATATAATAATAAGAAGAAAAAAAAGATTGAAAATTATTTTTGGAAAACTAGATGTTTTGTTTCTCTCATGGTAAGGTGGATGATATTGATTGGGGCTTCAAAGGATAAGATATATGAAATTTGAAGATAACCAGCTTAAAATAGATTTTAAAAGAAATTTAAGTTTGTACTCACTTATTTTCCATACATAGCATGCATTCATTAGAATAAGTATGCCCATCAGTCCCACAGATGGGGTCATAGTTCTTGGGGCATCCATTCACATTACTGTTACATACAGCCTAAAATGGAATTAAGCAGAATCATTTTCCGTTCTTTGAGTTTATAGCAAAATCTCCAAAGTGCTTTTTACCTCCCTGGAGTTGCTTAGCTTAAAGATGGAAGCATGGTTGTATAGGGAGAGTGATACTGAGAGAAAGAATTAAAGATTTTGAGTCAGAAAGCCTGGTTTTAAGTAATGCCTATGCTATTTACAAATTGTCTGACATTGGCAAATTTCTTGGTGTCTCTGAACCTCAGTCACTTTATCTGAAAAATGGGAATGAAATTATCTCATAATGGTTTTATGACATTTTAATCAGGTGAGTGAGATAATGTTCAAGTTTATAATTACTGCAGCTGCTAGCTCTTCTCAGGTCAGCCACACCTTGGGCATGTTCTTCCTTGCACACTGTAGTCCATTCTCTTAGTCACTGGAAGGCACTAGGTGTCTTCCCCCCGTGGAGTCTTTGCACAGCCTATTTCCTCTATGTCAATAAGAACTAGTAATTATTGAATGACTACTATAGGACAGAGACTGTCTGAAGTGCTTTTTATTTGTTATTCTATTTAAAAACCCACATCTATTCTATGAACTTTTTATTATACTCTTCTTCTGGTGAAGACAATGAGGCACAAAGATAAACCACCCATGGCCACATAGGTATTATTCCTGGATCCAGGGTTCAAATCCAGTAAATGTAGGTCCCGAGCTTTAGCTCTTAGCCACTTCACTCCTACCCAAGCATGTCAAACGAGAGTTTGACATGCTTGCTCTACCACTTCTCACCAGTTACACTTTGCTAACACTCATTTATCCTTCATAGCTCAAAATAAATCTCTCTTACTTAGGGGCACTTTCCCTGATCACTCTACCTAGGCTAGGTTCCTAATGGTACCAGAACTTCTTTAGAACACTCATCAAAAATGTCATAATTTATTTGCTATGTACTTTTGGTTTGTCATCTATCTCCCTATTAGATATAAATATAATGAGAAGAGGGATACTTCTTCCTTTAAATATAGAGACAGAATATTTTTAGATGTTTGGATATAGAATACCTTTTCTAGAGGAAGAACCCAGTTTATTATATTCCTCTGTTCATTATTAATTAGAGCTCCACCTTGGAGATCTGGTGCTTTTGGGCGAAGTTAATAAGGCTTCCACTCCAAAACCTTGTCCTACCAGATAGCCCCTGTATATATAAAACCCCCTTCACAGAAAGCACTATGTGACTACATAGAAACTGCTTGTGTATCAGTGTATTTGTCCTTTAACATGAGCCCCTATGGGGGAACTAATGTTGGCATCTGCATGTAGTAGGTTAAGGCCTGCTATCATTCATACTTCTCATCTTGACTTCAGGCTAAACTGTAAGGTGACCACTGGAGCATTATTTGATTGGAACAAACAGTTCTAACCTGAGAAATAAGAGATTACAAATGGTCTTTACCTTTGTTCCTGGGACATCAGCTTTAGCGTTACCTAGAAAACAAGTCAGACATGGGAAGTTGGGTCATGAATCGGAGAAGCTAGATCTATTTTATTCAAAATTCTCTGCTTCCTTTGAAGACAGTGACTTCTCTGCTGTGTCTGTTTCACTCCCCACTCCTTCTTATTTCTATGTTCTCTCAAGGACATCTCATTAGTGTCTACTCACTGCTTGCTTGCTGAAAACTCAAAAAATTAAGCAAAAATTTGATTATGACCAAAGTATCTTAATTTGGTATTTCAGAAAAGTTGGCCCATTTCCTTGAAAATAGAAATGATGTGTTTACGGCTTGAAATGTATCAGGCATTGAGCAAATATCTTCTGAATGCTCACTGACATTCCCACAACCAGTTATTTAGACTTTGATTTCACTATTAGTAATAGAGGAAATATAAGTATCTTTATCTCAGTTTATTGGTGAAGTTCATATAGCTAACTGCAAAACAGCTACAACTAGCAGTAACCAGATTGTCTGATGCAAAACTAACTTTTGCAATTCCATTTAAGTCTCCTTTTAAAAGCATTATTTAAGAAATGTTGTCCTTATTTTATATTAAAATTCCTCTTTCTATAATTCTCATCCAGTAAACTTATTTCATCTCTTTGGTACCGAAAGGTCTGTTCAAGCCTAGACTCTGTCTAAGTCCAGAAGATAATGTGCCCAGTAAAGCAACAGGTCAAAAGCTTTTATTCAAGTCAGAAAAATATGTAATGACACTTACCAGACAAACTCAACAGGGCCAAGGCACTGAGAAGAAAGATGGCTGTTACCTTCATGGCTGGAGTTTTGTGTCCAGAGCTCAGCTGAAAACTGCAATGAACTTAGCGCTTCTTTTCAGAACCCTTTGACTGGAAGGGTTATATAGGCAGTGGCAACTCGAACACCACCTGCTGCCCTGTGTCACAGGTCTCTTTGGTTATTGATTGACTTCACAGTGTAGACTGGCCCCCGGGTTGGGGTAATGTCACCTGTGTACGAAAGCTGAAAGCAATGCCATGGGCCTGTAATGTGCAAGGCCAAGATTCTGTCAGGAAAAGAGTTCTGCTAGTTAGTTGCCTCTCTCTGTCGCCTCCTCTGTGATTTGGGAAGGCATTTCCTTTCCCCAGCCCCCGTTTTTTCTTCTGTTAGGTGAACTCAAAGGTCCCTTGTCCTCTGTAGTTCCGGACATCTGAACAGCTGTGGATATGTTAAAAACCCTCTCCATTCTTTTTTGCTTTTCTCTTTTTTATTCTTTCTCTCATTTTCTGTCACCCATTCACAAAGCCTAAAGTAGATGACAGGGGGACAGGTTAGAGACAGGACTCAGTTTCTTAAGAGGTGTGGGCGCACATGCTTGCCAGAGACATGTACTAGCTCTATGACATTGGAGATGTAATGCACTTTTGCTGTGTCTCAATTTATTCATCTGAGAATTGAAATAATAATAGCACCTAACTCAAAGTGTTGACCTTTCGTTCAAAACTATGTACTGTTTCTACCATGTGTCACTGAGAAACAATTCTCCACTCTTACTCATGTTTCGTGTGTCTTGTGAACAGAGGTACTGGCCGGCTGCCTGTGCTCCAGCCCACCTTCTCATAAGTGTTTATATAACAAATGGCCTTGGAGAGTGTAATAGTGTCCCCTCTGTAATAAAGAGGTCTGTTTATGTTTAGCGCAATAAAGTTGCTCTTTCACTCCATGGCAAAGCTTAGGTAGGCAATAGTGCACTTTTAAAGAGATTAGGGATTTTTAAAAACCTGGGCATCCTACTCTTGTCACACACTGCACTTTCTGTTCAGGTACCACTGGGCCCTCTTCACATCACACTGTGGAAGTGGGGGCTTGAGAAACTAGATCAAATGCTGACACTCTGTTGCTATTGAATAATTAAGTCCCTTGTCACTGACCCAGGAGGGTAAACATGCTAGAGGATTTGGGAGGCAGTTGTTATATAGATTGGTCAGAGAAAGCCTTGCTGATCAAGTGACATTTTAAAAAAATGTTTTTATTGATTTCAGAGGGAGGAAGGGGGAGAGAGAGAGAAACATCAATAATGAGAGAGAATCATTGATCAACTGCCTCCTGCATGTTCCTCTTAGGGATGGAGCCCACAATCCAGGCATGTGCCTTGACTGGGAATCAAACCATGATCTCTTGGTTCTTGGGGCGACGCTCAACCACTGAGCCACACTGGCTGGGCTGATTAGGTGACATTTGAACAGAGACATGAAAGAAGTGAGACATTTGAACCATATGAATATCCAAGAACAAGCACTCCAGACAGAGAGAAATAATAGCAAGTGCCAAGGCCCAGAGACAGAAACTTGCTTGAGATGGAGAAATATTCAGCATGATTTTCTGGAGCAATGTGATAGAGAGAAACAGATAGTAAGATAAAGGAAGCAGTGGGGGCCTAAATAATAAAGGGCCTTTGTTTTCTGACCAAAGAGAAAGCCGTTAGAGAGTTACGGCAGAGGAATGACATATGACGCTTGTTCTAAACGGTCACTTTATCTGTTCTATGAAAATAGGCTAGGAGGCAAGAGAAACTATTGTAATAGTCCAACCAAGAGATGAAGGTGAAAGTAGAAGGAAGAGGTTGATAGTGCACTTCGGTGAATTAATACCTGTGAAGTTTTTATAACAGTTTCTATCACATGGTAAACACTTGGAAATATTGTTTTTATTATTGTTACCTTTTCAGTATTTATAATGCTGTTTCGTCTGACCAGAATTCTCTTCTTTACTCTTATACTGAATAAATCCTTCCTAAGTCTTTAGGACTCAGTTTGAATGTTGTTTCTTACTGGAAATCTTCCTTAGGTCATTCTGGGCTTCTGTGGCATTTTGAGCATGCTTGGATATAACATACTAGAGGCCTGGTGCACGAAATTCGTGCACTGGGGGGTGGGGGGTGTCCTTCAGCCCAGCCTGCACCCTCTCCAATCTGGGAACCCTTGGGGGATGTCCGACTGCTGATTTAAACCCGATTTCTGCAGGATTGGGCCTAAACTGGCAGTCAGACATTCCTCTTACAATCCGGGACTGCTGGCTCCTAATCACTTGCCCGCCTGCCTGATTGCCTCTAACTGCTTCTGCCTGCCAGCCTGATCACCCCTTAACTGCTCCCTGCTGGCCCGATTACCCCCAACTGCCCTCCCCTGCAGGCCTGGTCCCCCCCCAACTGCCCTCCCCTGACGGCCATCTTGTGACAACATGGGGTGGCCATTCTGTGGTGGCCATCTTGTGATGACATGGGGATGCCCATCTTGTGACATGAGGGTGTGAGGGTCAATTTGCATATTACCTCTTTATTATATAGGATGACACACTGTTGAAACTCTTTGTGCATATGACTAGTTCCCCCATCTTCCATTTATGCTTCAATCTTCACATTCTAGCTTCCTCCTTTACTTCTGCTAGTGACCAGGTTGATTCATTCCTTGCAGATTCTTTCAGAGTAAGTGGCCTCTAACTATTTACACTTGATGACACTCAATATTATCTTTTTCCTTGGGTTTCATGACTGCACAGCACCCTACGTTTCCTCGTATCTTCTCCATCCTGGTTTCCTCTCCATCCTCTTTATCCAATCTTCTCACTCTAATGTGTAAAGACTTGGAGTTTCTCAAATATTGGCCCTAGGCCCTATTTATGCCTCACTTTTCATTTTCCTTAGATGAGCTCATTCATTCACATCATAATTTATATATATATATATATGTGTGTGTATATATATATATATGTGTGTGCTCCAAAATATGTATCTTTTTCCTACATCTCCTCTGATTTCCAGACTAGATATTAAGTGCCTTCTTAACAATGTGGACATCCTATAGTCACTTAAAAGTTAATATTTCCTATACTGCTATTTTGATCATCCACAACAAAAAATTATTTTTAGTTCCCCCATTGCTTCTCTTTCTTCCAACTGGTTGTCAAGCCAAAACCCAAGTGTTCTCCTTGATGCTTCCCTTGGCCTTACATTGTACCATCTTCCACACTTAATTTATTACCAAGTTCTATTCTTGAATCTGTGTCCTATATAACCTCAATTCTGTACACTTACCATCACGTTATACTGCCATATCTACAGAAATGCACATCATAATATGTTCACTTGGTGTGAAAATAAACTTAGAAAAGTAAATACATGTTGTGCCAAAATATTATCCTCTATTTCACCCAGAAGAATAATTGCTAGCTGTAACAATCTTCTTCCTTCCATGGGTTGGTATAATGGGCAATCCATTTAGGCTTCATAAGCTCAATGTCTTGATAGAATAATTACTGTCTGCCTTATGAGATGGAATGGGTATTGGTTGAAACAACACTGCTCATGTGCTAGACTCTTAGTCACATTTAATGTGTTTACATGACCTAGCTTTTCATAAATCCTCCCTCTTTCTTCACTTCTCTGTGTACATATCTATGTGTGCATATCATCAGGAGCTCAGGCAAACATATTATGACCCACTCCTCTCTGTTTCAAGGACAAATTATTCACCTGAATAAAGAATGATGACAAAACTTAAGAGAACTGTTCTAATGGATGCTGATAAAACTTGCTGGAATGGGGATGTTTGTTGGGCACCTGTTGATTTTCACATCCTATGCCCAACTTGTATTTTTATTAAAGTGTAATTGATATGCAATATTATATTCATTTCAGATGTACAACATTGATTCAACATTCATATACCTTAGATGTGATCATCATGATAAGTCTAGCTACCATGTTTCTCCATACTTATTACAATATTGACTGTGTTCTCTGTCTGTATGTTAACATCCCTGTGACTTACTATTTTTATAACTGGAAGTTTATATCTCTTATTCCCCTTTACCTTTTTCAGGGGCATGCCTAAGTTTTGACTAGTAAGAAAAATTACAGAAACTAGAGATACGGAGTCTAATGTATCTAGCCTAACATTTGAATATCTCTTTGACTTAGCTCTTCAATCTTTTTTTTTATTATTATTTATAGAATTTTATGGCTTTTCTTAATAACCCTTTTCTTCTGCTTACTCTCCAAACAGGTTCCTGTGGTTTTGCTTGTACCAATCCTTTATAGCCTGGCTAAAATATCTGGTGCTTAAATCTGTAAAATTTTTATCTCTCATTCTAGTTCATAAAGCTATCACTAAATAATTATATTAATTACATAATCATATAACTATAATTATGACCACTACTGCTAAAAATTGTCAAAAGTTTCTATGCCAGGCACTGTGGTACTTTATTTTCATTATTTTTTAATCCCCAATGCATTATTATTATTATTGCATTATTATTCCCATTTTACAAATAAGGAAACTGAAACACAGATATTTCAGTTATATTTCTGGTCACTGAGATGAAATACTGACATATATATTTATGATACATACACATATATAAAGATATACACACAAATATACCGATATACATATATAAATGTGTGTGTGTATATATATATATATATATGCACTAGTATACATTCTTTGTGTGTGCATATATATGTATTATATATAATGAAATATATTGTTGGCCTCAACAGGCAGTTGGACATCCCTCTCACAATCCAGAAGTGCTGGCTCCCAACCGCTCACCTGCCTGCCTGCCTGATTGCCCCTAACGGCTTCTGCCTGCCAGACTGATCACCCCTTAACCATTCCCTTGCCAGCCTGATTGACACCTAACTGTTTCCCTGCAGGCCCAGTTGCCCCCAACTGCCCTCCCCTGCTGGCCCAGGCGCCCCCAACTGCCCTCTCCTGCAGACCCGGTCACCCCCAGCTGCTCTCCCCTGCAGGCCTGGTCACCCCTAACTGCCCTCCCCTGCTGGCCATCTTGTGGCCACA